CAGAAGAAAACAGAAGAAAACAGAAGAAAACAGAAGAAAACAGAAGACAACAGAAGAAAACAGAAGAAAACAGAAGAAAACAGAAGAAAACAGAACAAAACAGAACAAAACAGAACAAAACAGAACAAAAGAAAAGTACAGAAGTCTATTTTCTGAATATTTCTCTTAGATGCACAATGGGAAATATTTTAAACTATAACTGGAAAATAGACTAAATTTTAAAAAAATAATATAAAAGAAAACTATAACTAGAAAATAGACTAAACAAAAAATATATATATATTTAAAAACTCTAATAGACTAAATAAAATAAAAAAGAATTAAATAAAAAGAATAAAAAAAACTACAACTGGAAAATAGACTAAATAAAAGAATAAATAAATAAAATAAAAAAATATATATAACTGGAAAATAGACTAAATAAAAATGAAAAACTATAACTGGAAAATAGACTAAATTAAAAAAATGAATAAATAAATAAAATGTCATAATTGTAAAAAACTATGACTGGAAATTAGGCTGGAAAATTTGCCAACTGCAGTTGGCAAAGTTGCATCATTCATTAAATAAAAGCAACTATAATTTTTTACACTGATACAGAAGTCTATTTTCGGAATATTTCTCTTAGACGCAGAATGGGAAATATTTGAAACTATAACTGGAAAATAGACTAAATAAAAGAATAAATAAATAAAAAGAATAAAACAACTATAACTGGAAAATAGACTGGAAACTTGCCTGCAGTTGGCAAAGTTGCATCATTTATTAAATAAAACTATAAACTATAGATTTTACACTGATACAGAAGTCTGACTATTCTGAATATTCCTCTCAGAAGCAGAATGGGAAATATTTGAAACTACCAAGGAAGACGTACCTCCACAGTCCCAAATGTACATAATCAAATGATTAAAAACCTGGTTTTGCATAATATGTCCCCTTTACATTTTCTGTGTGACGTCATGATGTTAGAGACTTTCTTACCTCCCGTTTCAGAGACGTCCTTCAGCTCGTGAGGTTCAACGTAATCAACAGGAAGCTCGTTGATTATGTCTTGGGCTCCCTGAGAAGAAATGGTACATGTTGTTTTATTCCATTTGATTTAATTTCTAATAAATTTGTTTTCATTCATTTTTATTTTATTAGGGACAAAGCACATTAACCCTTTAAAGCCTGATCCAAGAATATAACAAAACAGAAAATTACTTTTTTTTTGTTTGAATTCCTTATTTGGCCTTTTAACAAAATATGTAAAAAGAAAAAACAGAAATACATTTTTAATATTAAAAATTTATTACTATGCGATAAGTCCAGATAATTTTTTGTGTAGTCTTCTGCCCCCTGTTATCAGGTGTATGTGATTGTGTTCAATAGGATTTAGAGCAAAGTTTTTACCATTAAATTATGCAAAAGGTGTCAGACGCAAAACATTTCAGAAACCGTATCAAATATGACACATTTGGCATTACAGGGTAAATGAACATCAGTATAAAAACAAAATGTAAATATGCCGGATTATAGCTACAAAGCTAGTTTTCACCCGTGGCCCCTAGGCAGGCAAAAACATAAGAACATATAATATATAATATAATAATATATAATATACAATATAAGCATCACAAGGAAATGTTAAGAGTCTAGTTTATCAATGTTTCCATAAAAAGTGCTTAATGTACAGTGGGGGAAATAAGTATTTGAGCCCTTGCTGATTTAGCAGGTTTGCCCACTTACAAAGAATGCTTATTTTTCCTCATCAGATGGTTATCAATTTTTATAAATTCATATGATGTGATTTTCTGGAATCTTCTTTGGGATTCTGTCTTTCACTGTTAGAATGTACATATAATTAAAGTTATAGATCGTTGCATTCTTTGTAAGTGGGCAAACCTGCTAAATCAGCAAGGGCTCAAATACTTATTTCCCCCACTGTATGTAGGTTTTTTGTTTGGATCTTAGTACCTTGGAGACATTTCCGGTTCCAGTGAAGCAGAACGTGACCGGGCCGATGGATTTTGGCATGAGGCCCATGGAGATCTCGTACCCACAATCCCTCACTGCCTGCACCGCCTGGCTGACGTTCCGGTAGTTGTGGGCCATGCCGATGTGCTGTGGAGAGCATTATTAGTAGTAAGTAAGTAAGTAAAGTTTATTTATATAGCACCTTTCACAGACATCAAAGGTCACAAGGTGCTTCACAGAAGTGCACAATTATACATCAAGATAAAACAACAAAATGTAATAAAAACCATAACTACATAAAACAATAAAATGTTATAAAAACCATAACTACATCGAATGCACTAGTCATAGCATAACTAAGAAACTATTTTAAAATAATCTTTTATCAAAATTAAATACTGTATGCAAACCCAGAAATAAATAAATATATTATGAGTGATAGCTAAGAAATATGAATCTAAACTATTTGAAAATAATCTTTTATCAAAATTAACATACTGTATGCTAACCCAAAAATAAATAAATATATTAGCAGTGATAGCTAAGAATCTATTCTAAAATAATCTTTTATCAAAACTAACATAATGTAGACAAATGCAAAAATAAATACATATATTAGCAGTGATAGCTAAGAAATATGAATCTAGACTATTTTAAAATAATCTTTTATCAAAATTAACATACAGTATGCAAACCCAGAAATAAATAAATACATTAGGAGTGATAGCTAAGAAATATGAATCTAAACTATTTTGAAATAATCTTTTATCAAAATTAACATACTGTATGCTAACCCAAAAATAAATAAATATATTAGCAGTGATAGCTAAGAAATATGAATCTAAACTATTTTAAAATAATCTTTTATCAAAATTGAACACTGTATGCAAACCCAGAAATAAATAAATATATTAGCAGTGATAGCTAAGATATATGAGTCTAAACTATTTTAAAATAATCTTTTATCAAAATTGAAAACTGTATGCAAACCCAGAAATAAATAAATATATTAGCAGTGATAGCTAAGAAATATTAATCTAAACTAGGGTTGTCAAAAGTATGGATACTCAAAAAAGTACGGATACTAAAATGTTGTATCCGGATACGATACTCATTTTCAAAAGTATCGCTTCTCTCTTATTTATTCATGTATTTATTTACGTTGTTTATGATCATTAACAAGACGTTAGCCTTGAATTGCTAGCTGCGGCTAATGGCTAATTATAACACGCCAACATTAATCAAGTCAAGGATGGATATACAACCCCCCCACATCCAAGTCGGCCATTTTGATTAGATCACCAATAGGAAGATTCCAGGCAAGAAAATCCTAATTGCTTCATGGCAATATACACATTAATTTAAAAATAGTGAAATGAATCTTTCAAACACTTAATTAAACTCTATCCATAATATTATTTTAAAATAGTGGATGTTAAATAGGTTTGTACAATAAGTCCAAACAAGTTTAACCAAAAAATATTTATTTCTCACAATTATGAAGGGTTAGGGTTAGGGTTAGAGTTAAATTTTGGGGTCTTTGTTTTTATCCTTGTGGTATCGAAAATGGTATCGAGTATTGAGTATTTTCCTGAGTATCGGTATCCAGTTGAAAATTTTAGTATCGTGACAAACTGTTTTAAAACCGTTTTAAAATAATCTTTTATCAAAATTAATGTACTTTATGCAAACCCAGAAATAAATAAATATAAATCCACACATTTGTTCCAGCAGGTGTTCTTACCATAAAGGGAGTGTGATGGCCAAGTGCCAAGAAACGAAGACCTAGTCCATGAAGAATGTTTATCATTCCTGCAAAAGAAAAACAATTGGAATAATTATAACAACAAAAAGAGAGTCAATTTTTAACCCTATAAAGCCAAATGTGTCATATCTGATCGGGTTTCTTTTGGATGTGAGACTTTCTGCATCATTCAGTGGTAAAAGCTTTGCTCAAACCCCTGTTGTACACATTCAGATATACCTGATAACAGCCAGTAGAAGACTACACCAACATAGATTTCTGACTTATTGCACGCTAATTTGATCAAAATAATTTCTGTTTTTTTTCTTCATATGTTGTTGAGGGGCCAAAGAAAGACTTCAGACTAAAAAAAAACAATATGCTTCCGATTATTCTTGGATCAGGCTTATAAGGGTTAAATATAAAAGGTAAGTATGCTTTTAGATTGTTTTAATTTCTATAATATGTTTTCTACTATATTTTTCTGCTATATTTACTTTGCATGCACTGAACAAGATTTCTAATCTGGAAAATGTGTTTTTTAGTTTAGCATTTTGTCAAACTGTCATGCAAACAAAATATTTTAGTCTTTTAGTCTTTTAATCTTTACAATATTCACCGAAAAAATGATGAGACCTTCATTATCGAAATGTCCACTTTTGACAACTGACTTTTGATTACATTTTCTTTTCCTCCTTAGTTCATCTCAACCCATTGAAAATGTTACTTCTCAGTTTTATTTTGTGGTGTTTTCTATTTATTTACTTATGTTATTCTTACTACTCTATCTTTTTTAATTGTCTACATACTTTCTTATTCACATGTTTGTGTACGGTAAGAAGGAAGGATGTGGGTTATTATTACTGATCTGTAACATAATCTTGTAGGATTGGGGAAGGGAGGGAATGAGTGGTTGTTGTTTTTGTAAAAAGAAAAAAAAATCCTTGCTTCTCATTGTTTTTTACTTGACATTGTCACGTGAATAAAAACATGAATTAAAAAAAAAAATGTAAAAAAAATGATGAGAGCTTGGTTTGATTGAAACCCATCTATCACCTGACCGATACTATTGGTGTTGTTTTCATATTTCTAAACCATGTTGGGGAAGGCTAACTAGCTAAAACATAGACTTTTATCCTCTTTTCTCGTACCTGCGACTCCGGCCCACTGACCGAAGGCTACGATCCGAAAACCGTTAGCGTCCACCATCTTCTCATAGTCGATGAGACGAACTTCCTACAAAAAGACAAAATCACTGTATAAGATGTAAAAAATGACCACATGTTGACAACTCAAAGTGGAAAGATGGCATTTGGTGTCAATGATTTGGGCTGTAGTGATTCTAGTGAATTCTTAGGGTATGTATTTGTATATATATACTGTATGTATGTGTACATGTATGTGTGTATATATTATATATGTATTTTTTGCTGTTTGCAAAAATCTATTAAACTAAACAGTTGGAACATTAAATTTGAAAAAAGGATTGAAAAAAAAATTACAAATAAATGTATTCTGTTTATTCATAATTTACACTGCCTTACAAGTTTAAACATTTGACTAAATATTTCAAGAATTTCAAATTTTCCTAAACATTTTATTATGGTTCATAGCATATTTTAGATTCCACAAAGAAACCACTTTTGGCACGCTTATAGCTAGGTTGTTTTATAAGTCAACATACAAAACGAACCAAATAAACAGGATTAAAATACTATTTAATTCATTTTCTGTAATTTCAGGTTGTCTTGGTCCAGATTAGTGTGAATCACTGTCTGTCCTGAATCTATAATTTTGTTCTGGTAACTTACAATTAACAATTAATTAACTGGCAATTACTTTGGAATTCAGTTTATCCAATTCTCTAAATAATTGCGTATATTTACTGGTAGGATATGCTGCAAAGGTCAGAATGTAGAAGAAACTATTATTATTATTATTATTATTATTATTATTATTATTATTATAATTATTGTTATTATTATTAGTAGTAGTAGTAGTATCATTATTATTATTATTATTATTATTTGTATTATTATCATTATTATTATTATTATTATTATTATTATTATTATTATTATTATTATTATTATTATTATAAACTACTATTATAGTTACTGGACCAGTACTGGTTTACCTTCTTGAGAAGATCCTCCAGGAGCCCCATGTTGGCCTCCTGAGCTTTGATGGTGTGAGAAAAGAACGCGTACGTCTTCCTGGGAATGACTTTTTCCTCCGGAGGCCTTTTCACTCCAATTATCAGAGAAGCTTCTGAAATGTCCTCCTGAACAATAGCCCCAGCTTTCATGTAATACTGAAAAAAAAAAAATGTCATAGTGATGAGAAATGTAATATTGTGTCTACTTTGTAAGTCGCTTTGGATAAAAGCGTCTGACAAATGCAGAAACATAAACATAAAAAGAAAATGTGAAGTGTGTGATGCTAAAGTTGTTTTAAAACTCAACAAAAATGACAGATATACAGTTAAAAATAATAGTAAACACACAGAATATAGCATAAAATGGTTATATAAAGCCATATTTAGATATTGTGCATAAACTTTTACTTTAATGCATGAACTTCAAACATCTGATTCACATAATTTGATATAAAAAGAAACACACACAAATTAAACATTAACCTAAAAGGTTTTTTGATTAACATTTTTTTACAAAGAACTAACAGATAATAAACTTAACCAAAAGTCTCAAAGAAACTGTTCCGTGGGCTCAAAACTAACCTAACCCACAAAGAAATTAAAAAAATAGACTAATTAAATACTAAAATATAAATAAATAAATACAAATGAATGAATGAATGAATGAATAAATAAATAAATAAATAAGCAAAACCTATTTAAACATGGAAAAAGAAATACAAGCAAAAAAAAGTAAATAATACAACTTTAAAAAAACTATACATATAATACGTGCATTTATCTATAGACACCGAAACCATAGAAGAAGTTGAAAAAAAAAAAAACAGCGTACTTGTTTTAAGGTCATCAGAAAAACAATTATGTCTGCTGCATTCATGCTTTAAATAACTTATTTAATCTCCAGTGCTGCACATAACCCTGAATATCTAATTTTTTCCCCCATTTTTCGAATAAATTTGAATTATATGTTGCTAAATAAAAGCTAATTATTGAAACGGAAGTGTGAAAAAGTTCAATTGTACGACTAGTTTAGCTATAAAAGTTGAATTTACTTTTATGAATTACCCTCATAAACTAAAACCTCTGCTGCTCCTCACTATGCTGGGTATCTGAACAAATATAAGTATATATTTATATATATAAATATAAATATATATAAATGCAGAGGGGCCAAATACTAACTGACAACACAGTCGATTGTATTAATTAATAATAATTAAGTAATAATTCAGGAGCAGGAAACAGAGACATGGAGGACACTATCCTGTTTCAGGATAGTGTCAAGGATCAAGTTCAATTTCATCATAGGTTTGCAGACACACACACACACACACAGACACACACACACACACACACACAC